TTTTGTTGTATTGTTGTTGTTGCAAATGAAAATTTAAGCTTAAACACTCGTTAGCTCTTTGTTTTTCTTTAAGTTCTGCTTCCGCCATTGCTTGCATATAAAAGACCTATTTAACTTCAAAAATTAATTTTGAATCTTGAATTTTTCAATTTTTTGAAAATATTTATCACTTCAATTTTTGTTGGCTTGTTTGGTTAAGCGAGAATCAAAATCAAACCAATAACAAAAAAAAAAAAATGTTATGATTAGTGCTATGTTTTATGTGACATTAAGAATTGAATGCTATGTATGTAAATACCTCAAAATATAATATTAATATTTTAAAAATTAAAATATATTTTTAAAACCCAACGAAATCAACCGTCAACCATAGCCGTCTGATTCGATTTAATTTCTCTATTTCGATAAAAAAAATGAACAACTGTGATATTTTAGAACCACCATCGTCTTTAAAGTCATGACCTACAGCTGTAAGTTCGGAAGAGTTAAAGCCCTGAGCAAAATGGAGACAATACAATTATTTTTGAAGCAATAATTGTACGGGAGAATGTATTTTAACTCGTTTGGTTGTCTTCAAACATGAGAATACTGCATCAAGACTCCCTACTCGTTTGGTTGTCTTCAAACATGAGAATACTGCATCAGGACTCCCTATTTAGAGTTACGTGCGGAGTCCAATGAAATCACGTCACGTGGCGGTGACAGAAAATAAATAAAATTTATCCGGTTATAAAAGGAAATATTCCTCCCGTATTATTCATGTGTTATTGTACGTTATTCAATTGTTATTATGTATTATTCAGGTGTTATTGATGTGTTATTTTTTATTATAACACAGGGAATATTCGCAGTCTCTGTGTTACCGGACAGATTTTTTTTTGTCACTCTCACGTGACGTGAGTTCATTGTACTCTACACATAACTCTATGTGCGGAGTGCTGATGCAATATTTTTTTCTTCAAACATAGGTCGCAGTCTGCAAACGGTAAAATATGATTAATTTACACAAGTCTACTCTATAAAATTCAAATTTTGAAAAACAAGTATATTATAGGAAGTAGGTTGTCGTTTGAACAGAAGAGACAAAGTTTCTGAGTCACGTTAAAATATTAAGAAAAGGTTGGATTTAATAGTAATTGTCTCGCAAGGGAACAAAGAATGATGTCAAAGTAAGCAGCGTGGGCTCTGCGGAGTACACATTCGGAACTCCAAATTTGGGTAATTTTCGCATGCCTTAATTTGTTTTTTTTAAATAAATATTATAATCATGTTGGGCTTATTTTTCTTTTTGTTGTTTTTTTAAATCAAACAAATCGATTAAAATGTGATAGTCATAACAAATTTGCTTTCCCTTTTTCTTAAAAAAAAATCTATAATATTTATAACTTTTTTTAAAAAATATATTTTTGTTATATATATATATATATATATATATTGGG